CTTTATAAACTACTGATTATTGTCTTTCTTTGCCATTGTGTTGTGGCACCTAAATAGCAGAGCAGCCCTGGGGGCACAGTGCTGAGGTTCAGTGCGTTTTCCTTGGGGAGGAAGGGGGTTGCAGCAGGATGTTTTCACCCATGAGGAGCTATCTGGCTCGTTTGGTTTGTACAGCACCAGGAAAGATGTCTCGGATTGGTATGGAAAATTGGTACTAAAATGGAGGCCAAAGGCCAGGGTGTTTTGGTATGTGGGTGAGGGTGAAGCAGGGAGCAGCCCTGCCGTGCTATCTGTAGGAGCAGCACTGCTCACCTTGGTGCCATCTGATCCCTCAGGGCAGGCAGACCCCAGAGGAATTTGGGTGGGGTTTGCTCAGGGCTTCCTTTTTGCTCTCAAGCCCTGTGAGATGTGAAGGTGTTTCCTGAGGGGCTCCTCTGGCCCCTGTGCTCAGTGCTGCATGGCTGGGGCCAAGGTGCCTGGAAGCTCCAGGCTAGAGTTCAGCCTCCCAGAGGCGTTTCCAAATATAAACCAATTTAAATGTACTGGAACCCTCAAAAGAGCAGAGTCTCATTAACTGAGCTTTCCTTCACATGTTGGTGTGGCAGGGGGAGAGTGGGGGAAGGGGCACAGCCGCAGGCCAGGAGGAGAAGGGGCCAGATGGGTTTTTAATGATTGTTATTTTTAAAATCCAGTTAACTTCCCTGTAGTGTTTGAGGAGGGTTTTTTGGTGTCGGTTTTTTGTTTTATTTTCGTTTTTGCCCTTTGCTATCTGGCAGGAGAGTGGTTCTCTGGGTGGTTGCAGAGCTGTGAAGCAGTTAATCCTTGCCCTTGGCCGCTGTGCCATTGGTGCCTTGGCTGGTGAGGAGGGTTCCCTGCACTGCAGTCACATGCCTGCTGGCCCCTGGCCAGGGCAATCCGATCTGGCTCGGAGGAAACACTATCAGCTGCAGATGCAGCCAGGGTTACCAGAATAGTAAATAACGAATCACAAGACTCGGGCTATCTTTTCAAGGAAAACAAGTGCTTTAATATATTGGTTTTAGTACAGAAGTAGTTTCTTTTTTCAAAACAGCCAGGCTGCAAGAGGCTTGGCTTGGGTTAGTTTGCATAGGATGGAGAAATAAGCTCTATTTTACATTAAGTTGGCTGTTTATCTTCAGCTTGTCAGGTCAACTGTGTCTGGGGGGTGTAAGTTTTCATACTTGTTTTGAGCTTTGAAACTCCTTGAGTTTGAGATCTCTAGACTTGAAATTTCTTCTTTTTTTGGGGCATCTTTAACATTCACTCCATTTAATGGCTTTCTGGTGAACAGAAAGCTTTCCCTAATAATACCCCACCCCCAGTCCCAGCTTGCCTCTGCAGAGGAATGAAATCCCAGTACCCCAAGACTGTGCTGCTGGAGAGCTTCTGGTGCCCCAGAGGCAGTGTTGGTGTCCCTGGCTATGTGCCCCACTCATGTCTAGGCAGCAGGACTTTGCGCCCAGATCTGTCACCAGGCTGAGCTGTCCTCCCAGGACAGGACCAGCAGCAGAGGGTAACATGGAGCAGCTGGTGACGCTGCTCCAAAGTGATCCAGCAGACAGCAAAGCCTCTGGGGGCTGGAGAGTGCAGAGGTAACTCAGCTGGCCCCCTCTCCAGCACACTGACTGTTTTGTGGTGCTCTCATCATGCTTCTGTCAGTGGAGGATTTGAAAGTCTAACCTTAGAAGAAGACAAGGTTGATTTTGACTGTTGTGAACATGAACGTGGAGAATGGATTTTGTATTTGATGAAAACTGGTAGGAAAAGTAAGGCAGAGAATGCCACTGCCTCCTCACCTTCTTCCTTCTGGAGCAGCCCTGGTGACCTCAGTCACCTTTGCTGCCCTTTGGGGAGCAGCTCTGGGGTCACCACCCAACTGCTTTTGTGCCCAGTAACCAGGGGGGGACTCCCTCCTCCCTGGGTAGTCCCTGCACCAGGGTGGGATGTGCTGTGCTGCTGCTGCTGCCCTGCACCTCTCACTCCCTGGGAGTTTCACTTCAAACACTAAACCATGGAGCATTTGGCAGCTGCTGCTCCAATGTGTTTGCCTGCCTGGTGTGCACAGCTTTGCTTCTGAAAGTGCCCATAAATTTTGAGATCATGATATCCATAGAAGACCTTTATAAATCAGGGATAATGAGATAATGTGTATCTTTGCCTTTTAAAACAAAAATACTACTAGAAAAAGTAGTGCGTTAGGTAGGGAGAAACCTGAATTGATCAGTCATTTCCTATGTCCTTTTGGGTTTTTTCAGGCTTACGTTTTAACTGTGTTAGAAACACAGGTTCCCATAGTGTCATAAGGTTGGCTTTGTACTTTAAGCTATACCTTGTTTATATTTTAGAGGAGTTTAACAGTAATCTGAGGGATTTTAATCCAGTATTTTATTGCAGAGCCAATTTTTAATCATACATTTACTGTCTTCTGTAGAGTTACAAAGGATGTGGTGAGTGTGTAATAGGTACAGCCACAGGGTCACTTTGACTCTCATACTCTCTATTTAAGGCTAAAGATGTGAATTGGTTTCCTGCTCTGTACATCCACACTTGGGTAGGTTTGGCCTGGAGATACACTAAGGTTTTAAAGCAAGGAGGAAGTAAAGTTATTTTTGTAAGTCAGATACATATAATCTTGTCCTAGTCATAAATAAACAGATGTTTGTTTTAAATGAAATTAAGAACAAACAGAAAGAAACAGCAAGAAGAAATCATCAATTCCTTCTGCATTCAGAGCATGGCAGCTCTTGACTTGTGACTTGTGACAACAGGGAATGTTGCTGTGTTTGGGATGAAGTCAGGTGGATGCAGGAGGAACCTGTGAGGTTCAGCTCTCAGAGCTAAAGGGTGAATTCATACTATTTAATGAACAACACAGTTTGGATAATGGCTGCTATGAGAAATTTTGTTTCTGATAGAAATGATAGCTGGATCTAAATGTTGCATAGAAGTTAAACTTCTTTTAAGTTGGGATTTCTACTTTTTGTTGTTGTTTGTTGTTTTTGTTTTGTTGTTTGGGGTTTCTTTTTGGTTGGTTTGGGTTTTTTTGGGGGGGTTGTTGGGGTTTTTTTTTTTTGTTTCTTTCTTTTACCTCCTGGATTCTTTGTTTTTGTTTTCTAGAACAACTATTTGCAATCTCTACACAATGCCACGGATTGGGGAGCCTGTCTGGCTCACCATGATGTCGGGGACACCAGAGAAGAACCAGCTATGCCATCGCTTCATGAAGGAGTTCACTTTCTTGATGGAAAATGCGTCTAAAAATCAGTATGGTGGATTTTAGTTTCTATATTACATATGTGATTGTGCCTTTTAATTTCAAACCAATTTTTAAATAATTTGTTAAAATCCTGGTCATCAAAGGATCAAAAGGCCATCCATAAATGCCTTATTTTTCAAACAAATAAGAAATTATCTCATTAAATTCCTGCTTCCCCACAATCCTGTAAATCTTGATAGAGGCTAAACATGTGAAAGATGTCCATAAAAAGTGTGTGATGTGTGTGGATGTCTGGAACGGGTTGAAGATACCTTAAAAAATGCATTAACCTACTTTCAGAATCAGTTATCATATGATGAACAGGATTAGACATTTCAGGAAGAGCTGTGTCTGTAATACTCTCTGCTCTCAAACCTGAAATAATTTTAAAAAGCCACTAAAGAACTGCTGTGCTCATTAGTGCTCACTCACCTCTCTGGCCTCAGGCCCCAGCTGTGAGCAGATGCTGAAAAAAAGGAAAGGAGGGGAAAGGGAAAGGGAAGGAAAGGAAAGGAGAAACGAAAGGGGAAAGGAAAGGGGAAAGGAAAGGGGAAAGGAAAAGGAAAGGATTTGTCCCCATTCAAGTCCTAAAAGGAGCACAAATGTAGATCTGCACTAGCAGATCAGATGTTTGGTCAGGGTCACTTCTCCCTGCAGGGTGGGAAGGGGCTGCTGCTCCCATCCTCCAACTGTGCCACTACCTTTGTCATCTCTTCTCTCCCCTGATGGGAGGGTGACAGTGGTCACTGCCGTCCACCCGCTCCTGCCCCAGTGCAATGGGAGAAACTGCAGGGAGTTGTGATGAGTGCAAATGTATTTTCCTGAGATCAGTTCCTGCTTCACTGGAGGCTCTTTGCTGGGATTGTCTCCTTTGATCAATTCTGAGTGCTGTACATCTTGGTTACATTTAAATAGTCATTTATTTGGGTTTGTTTTCTTTATTTTAAATATGATAAGATTTTAAGTGATAGAAACCAGAGAAAAATTATTCCCTTTATCCTTCCTAATCTAGTTTTAAATCTCTTCTCCTCCTTTGGCTGTCTCTAGTGTGGCTACATGGAAGCTGTAGGGTTCCTGATGCTTGTAAATTATTCAAATAACATTATTTTGAGGCATTTGGCTCTTCATCCCCAAACGTGAGCCACAGTGGCCACCAGCACCAAGTGTTAGTGTGTGGAGCCTCCTGGGCCATGCTCCTGCCAGGAAAACTGACTGGGAAAACTCCACAGAGCAGAAACTATGTCTATCATTGCAGTAAATCAGGTAGTTAATGTTTTTCAGGAAGATTTTTTTCACCTTAATTGCTTAGCCAGTGAAAACTGCTTTGCCAGCGTAAGAATACAACTTCTCTGTCTGAGCTACAGAACTTGGGGAGGGGTTATTTTCAAAAAGGAGCAGCCATATGGCCTGAAAATGTACAATAGTTAGTGAAAGAACACAGCACCCAGCTATTTTACAGGTTTGGTAACAAAAGTCTTCCCTCTCATCCATAGGCACAGGTCTTAAGGGTTTGGGATCTCCTTAGAGTACAGGAGCCACACAGTGTCACTGCTTTCTTATAGTGAATTAAATAAATTGGTTTTGAGATGTTTTACGACATAAAACTTGAAAAATAGGAAGTCTCATAATTATTGCCAAACAGTGAGATGCCACAAAGTTAAAATATTTCATTTTACTTTACATATGTGTTCTATAAAAGAACACATATTTAAAATTTCTTTGCTAGGGTGGGAGGGTGGGTCCAGCCACCCTTTCTCTCCCAAAGGAACCAAGACTGAAGGGATGATCTCTGCTGATTTTGTCAGACTTTTTCTTTAATCCTTGATCCATATAGACTAGAGCTGCTGTCAGTTTAACATCTTGAGTGGTATCTGGAAAAAAAAAAAGCCATGTTGAACATTTTGCTTTCAGGTTTTTACCAGCTTTGTTGACTGCAGTGCTGACTAACCACCTGGCCTGGGTCCCCACTGTCATGCCCAATGGCCAACCACCCATAAGAATCTTCCTGGAGAAGCATTCTTCCCAGAGTGTGGACATGCTGGCCAAAACTCATCCCTACAACCCACTGTGGGCTCAGCTCGGTAGGTGGCAAATCCCTCTAAACCCCCAGCAGCTTTACGTAAATGGGAACACATGAGGTGGGTTTTATGATGCTTGTTACTCCCCTCCCAGGTTATTTATTTTTTAATAGAAAATGAGACAAAAGTGTGTTTCGAGCTTAGAGATGGTCACTGTATTTTTTTATGCTCTTAAGTTTTTAAGACATTATCCATTATAAAATGTTAGCCAAAAAGTAAAGCCCTCTTTAGTCATCTATGTTGGGTCCCTTAAGGTCACCTGCTCTGGTGCTGGTAGAGCATTCCAGGCCTCCTCTGGTCTTCCTCCTGCAAGGAAAATCTGCTTTTATATTTTGGGATGCCACTATCACTAAACCTCATTCTGGAATGAGAAAATCAAGAAAATTCATCTTTTGATCAAAAGTGAACATGCTTCTAATACAACAGAGTGATGCAGAACAGGAAGTCATAGCTTGGCAACCCCCAGAGAAGGTCTCAGAGCCCTGTCACTGGTGTAACTGGTCATACTGTCTGATAATTGCCCAGTAGAGAAGAGCAGGTGAGGTCAGATTGTCCTGCTCTGCACACATAGTCTCATGGAATTTGATTAGGGAAGGGAAGGAATGTTTTGTGAGGTTGTCCTATTATTGTACAGGTAGGAATGGCCAGGCTGTTGGCAAGAAAATTTGATTTCAGGCCTCATGTGACTTGAGGGACCCACTGTGGTTAGGCTGGCCTTTGAGAGGACTCCTTCTCCCCTCACCCCTGCAGTCATGCAGTGCCCTAATACCTCCAGAACACACAGGCACTTCCCCAGGTGACTCAAGCACAGCCAGAGCACCCCATCCAACCCATAGTGGAACTCAAGGAGGGGAAGAGAAGGAGGTTGGCTTCAGCCATACATTTGACATGGTCACATTTTGTCCTCATTCCTGGCATAGGTCTGTTTCTTTTACAGCTTTCTCTTATGGGTAAAAGTCCAGTCCAGTTTCCAGACTCTCCAGGGTAATTCAGCACAGATGCCTCCTCTCTCCCATGGCTGTAAGGATCCCAGGAGATCAGCCTCCAAAGCTGGAGTTAGGTGGTGTGAATGCTCCCTGATGTGTGAGATCAGATGTCCCCCTGACCAGTGGCTCACCTAACAGATGATACCTACAGCATCTTTGGGATTCTCCTATTGAAAAACAAAATACAGCATAGCTGTTGTAATTATTGCTTTAGTATTTCTCTCTTTTAGACCTGGTCTTTGAAAACTGGCCCAACAGATGGAAGAATTTTAGAATAGCTTATTGCAAAGATGCCAAATAACTGTGTGTTTTATTTCCTGTCCTAGGTGACCTCTATGGGGCCATTGGATCACCCGTGAGATTAGCAAAAACGGTCGTGGTTGGCAAAAGACATGACCTGGTCCAGAGATTGCTTTATTTCCTCACTTACTTCATCAGATGCTCTGAACTTCAAGAGACACATCTTCTGGAAAACGGGGAAGATGAGGCCATCGTCATGCCTGGCACTGTTATCACTACCACACTGGAGAAAGGAGAAGTGGAAGAGTCTGAGTATGTGCTTGTCACAATGCACAAAAACAGGGGCAACTTGCTACCCACGGAGTCAGAAGAGATGAGAGTTTCCAACTGCAGCTGTAAATATTGCAAATGTCCTGTTTCCCTCGCACAGAACATAGAAGGTGTTGCACAGCAAGAGAGAGAAGACCTGCAAAGCACTCCTAAGGTAGAGCTAGATTCTTCTTCAGATGAGAACAGAACCATCATTCCTGAAGGCCAGGAAGATGCTGTGGATGTGACACAACCAAGGCCCTGCCTGGATACCAAACTAGAGACTGTGGTGTGTACAGGGTCAGCTTCGCCTGAGAAATGCGTGGGGACAGAATCTTGTTTGGAGCCAGCAGCAGGCACGTGGAGGAGTGAGGATGTGCTGGAGCCGGGCAGCCAGGCGGGAGGTGGGACAAGGACACCCGGGGTTGCTGTGGAGAAGAAGCCACCCGATAAGCTCTTCATGGACACGTTTCCATGCAGCGCTGCCGAGGCTCAGACAAAGGTGACTTTCCTCATCGGAGATTCCATGTCACCTGATTCAGACATTGAACTGAGAAGTCAGGCAGTAGTGGAACAAATTGCCAGGCATCACAGCCCGCCAGCAGCAGAGGCAGGAGTGTCTGCTGATCAGAACTGTGAAGCTAAACAAACTGTTGAGGACCAAAATAGAGACTGTGGGACAGCTGAACCCTTTCCTCAAGTTGCTAGTGAGCATCAGAGCTGGAACCCAAACCCATACAGTGCTGAGAGCATGAGTCTGTTTGATGAGTATTTCACTGATGACAGTGCAGTTGAAACCCGGACTACTGATGATATTCCAGGGCAAGCAGCTACGAACCTTCTTGCTCACAACAGTAGCTTAGAATTTTCTAAAAAGCTGTGTACAAAGGCTTGCAAACCACCTAGTGAATTTTGTAAATTTATGGACTGTGTTCGACAAGACACCTACAAAAACTGCTTTAATGAGCAGGACCAAAGAGAGAAAATCTCTGTTCGCATCCCCCATGGGGACAGAGAAAACATAGAGAAAAAAGTTGCCCCAGGAATTGACTGGGACATTCCAAGAAATGAGAGTTCAGATAGTGCTCTGGGTGACAGTGAAAGTGAGGATACAGGCCATGATCTAACTAGACTGGGCAGTAACTATTACGGAGGAGAGCAAGAAGATTGGGCAGAGGAATATGAAATTCCCTTCCCTGGGTAAGTACTGTTCAGCACTAACAGAGCCTAAAAGAGATGGAACCTCTTCTCATGTCACGTATTTGGAGGACTGTAGCCTAACTTGGCATCAGGGGTTGGAAAAATGTCTCCTGAGCTTGCTGGTTGTAAAAGGATATTGAGAGATCTGTGGTCTGGAAAAAAATACTAATGGTGTATTGTGATCTTGGCTTGTATTCTCTGCTTCCATGATAAGCTGACTGCAAAAGCTGATTGTAAACTTTTTTAGAAGTGCTTGACTTCAAGTTAGAAGACATATGAAAAAAGTAGAAAGGCAACCTCTGTAATCTGAATTTGCTGTTTGCTGTTGTACATCTTTTTGATATGGCTTTCTTGCAGGTCAAAATTAGTTGAAGTCAACTCTGTCCAGCCCAGTATTGCTAATTTTGGAAGATCCTTACTAGGAGGCTACTGTTCATCTTACGTCCCTGACTTTGTTTTGCAAGGAATAGGAAGTGATGAAAAGCTGAGGCACTGTTTGGTGTCAGATTTATCTCATGCTGTGCAGGTAATTAAGCTATATTTGGTAAATGTATTTCTCACAGTAGGGAAAGATAAATGTTTGTGAATGTACAAACCTGCTGGAAGTGGAAATATTTCCTGTCACAGCTCCTGTCAGATTTCTCCAGTCCCAGGTCACCAATATTTTCTCCTCTCTCAATTAATGTATGTGAAAAACATGGCTATTTCACTGTGAATCTGGAGCACAGAAGATGAGACTCCCACTGAAGCCAGCTGGGAGGCTTGTGCCCTGGGAAGATGGATCTCAGTGCTAAGCTGTATCATTGTCTCCTGTAGACTTGGCAGCTGATGGTTGTGTCCCCAAAGGATGGGATGATGTTAAACAGGCCCATGTGCTGAGGTTGTGCCTCTCTTCCTGGGCACAGATTTCTTCTGCAGTGCTGCTGAAGCTCCCATTGCTCCCTCCTCTGTCCCTGCATCTGACCAATGTGCTGCTGCTGGTGCAGCAGAATGTGTTCTCCGTCACTAATGCTCAGTATTTTGGAGACATTGCTCCTTCTTTAGGACGGTACTCCATATGTCCATTAGCACTGTCTTCATTGGAAAAGGAGAAACCAATGTAAAGATAATGGTCTGAAGGGAACTTGTGTTTCTGATGTCTTGGAGACCACCTCTTCTCCACAACAGTTTTTCCCCACATGAACTGGGGCATGACTATGAAGTGTGGTGTTTCCTCCCCCTTTTACCAGGAAAGAAAGCAGGCTGTCACTGAAAGTGTGACATCTGCTCCTGTCAAGTTTATTCCCCAGAGAAGAAGGAAAAACAGACTGGTGAACAGCCACTTTTCTGAGATCTTCCAAAAAGTCCCCTTCCCCTACTTCTCACTTTAACAATGTGCATTAGACCTGCAGCTGTTCTCTGCATGCCTGTGCCCCTACCTTGTGCCCAGCCTGACAGGAGATGAGTCTTGCTCCCTTAGTGGTTGTTCCATTGGGAAGTGTAATTGAACTTCAGGTGAGAGAGGCAGCAGTCTGAAGCACCTGCTGCTGTGGCACAGATGTGTCTGAAATACAGCCTGAGAGAGATTTTTATGCTAGTGTGCCTGTGTGAAGTTCTTGCTGACTCTTTGAAAGCAGATAATTGCTAACAGTTCAGCCCAGAAAATTTTTTAGGGAAGGACAGTGAGTTTCCAAATACTCTCTTTTTTGAACCCATTTTCATGGCTTTGGAGAGGTGGAACACCAGCAGGGGGGAATGGCAAGGCACAGATTTGGTTCCTAACTCCCTCTGCTGGCTTCCCCTGAAGGAAAACCAGTGACAGCTGGGAATAACCTGACCTCATTAACACAGCCACGCTAAACAGCAAGTTGGATGTTTGGTGCTTTCAGTTTTAGGAGTTTAAAATACACTTCAGACATGTCAGAACTCTTTATATCAAATATCAAAAGATGTAACTGTCAGCAAGTGACATGCTTTAAAGCCTGTAAGGAAAGATAAAATAGCCATCATCCTTCTAAGACTGTGCCTTGCTCACAAAGCCCCTCATTTAATGGATGCAATGCAATGTGGGCAGATGTGTTTAAGGAGAAGCAGTGTCTGGGATGCTATCCTGCTATCCAGCAAAGGTGTCCTACTATCCAGGATGGCAAAGCTTTGTGAAAAGACCGCTGTCATTTGTCATTCTTAGGGTTCTGCTCTTCATTTTTTGTTCCTAGCACCCTGTTCTGGATGAGCCCATTGCAGAAGCTGTCTGCATTATTGCAGACACGGACAAATGGACGGTGCAAGTGGCCAGTAGCCAGAGGCGAATGACTGAGAATAAACTAGGAAAAGAAGTGTTAGTCTCCAGTCTCGTCTCCAACCTGCTTCATTCCACTCTTCAGCTTTACAAGCATAATTTATCTCCAAACTTTGTAAGTCTAAATGGAAATCACGAGGGCGATGGTTTTGAAGTGGCCTTTAACTTCACAGGTTAAAGATATGTAAGGCTCTGCATAGTGTTTTTTTTATTCATAGCCAGTGCAACTTCTGGTACAGCTGTTTGTGATGCCTACTGAAATGTCACTAATCAAAACAGCTGCCTCATTACTT